TAAACACATGGATCAACGTGAAGTCTTTTTAATTTTAATTTAATATTTTTTTTTCTTTCAATACGCCTGCATCAGCATGTATGACAGTTTTTCTAAACAGAGAATGAGAGAAATACATTCTTTTCATCTCATGTATAGTGGCCCTGATCTGGATCAAACCACCAGTATGTATGACAGTTTTTCTAAACAGAGACAATGAGAGAAATACATTCTTTTCACCTCATGTATGGTGGCCCTGATCTGGATCAAACTACCACAAACGTACTCTCAAATAAAACTTGAATGGCAAGTGCATATAGGTAATCCTCCACTTACAACCATTCATTTAGTGACACATATGACTGTTGCAGCATTTCCATGGTCATGTGATCAAAATTCAGGTGCTAGGCAACTAGGACATATTTATGATAGCTGCGCTGTCCTGGGGTCATGTGATCACCATTGGTAACCTTCCCAACTGACAAGAAAAGTCAATGGGGGGAGGGGAGAAACAAGATTTGCTTAACGATCACATGATTCACTTAACAAGTGCAGTGATTCGCTTAGCAACTGTGGCAAAAAGAGTTGTAAAATAGGACAAAATTCATTTAACCACTGACTTGCTTAGCAACAGAAATTTTGGACTGAACTGTGATCATAAGTCAAAGATTACTTTGTATGCAATTTTTTTTTGCATTGCGTAGTTTAACTAAGTTCTATCACAAACGAAAAGAAAGGAAGGATATAAATGGAATGAATGAATGAATCAATGAAACAAATGAAACAAGCAAATTCACCATTCTCAGCTTATATGAAGGGGTGAAAGGATTATGTAACATTGTTATGTTTCTCCCTGACAACCTCTTATTTGACTCTACCAAAAGCTCACTTATTCTTGCTAGATTGTGTGATTAACAATATAGAAACAAATGTTTTTTCTATGTCAAAGATAGTTAAATAAAAATACAACTGTGCTGTGGATACATTTTATACTCTGTTTGCATCCATAGCACTGTAAACCCTGTTCTTTTATATTTTATGGCATAATACAAGGAGCTATGGAATTTTTAGAACGCCACGAGGCCCAAAGGTAATTTGGTTAATGAAACGTTGCTTGCTTTAATCCTTATTATGTTAGGTCCTAAAGCCCTTAGCTCCCACTCTTGGTCTGAGATAGTGTTTGCTATTACCTCCTATGTTTCAAAGGGAGCTCACATAGCATCCAATCCCTAACCTTGGAGTGTCTCATAACCTGTATTTTGATTTTTTAAATGCTACATTAGAGCAATTAAAGAGTTAAAATGCGAAAATATTCTATAATTCCACTCCTTAGCCAAATATCATATTTACATTTGGATATAGAGAATTCAGTTCTTAGCCCTTCTCCTTGTGAAATAATTATCAATTATAACCAATCTCCTAAGTGATAAATAAAATAAAATTTTAAAAAGAGAAAAAAGAAAAAAAAACTGCAAATAAATATTTTTATAAACTTTTATTTATTAAGTTAACATTTTGACATCTAGTGTTTAAAAACAAATTTACAATACTATTCAGCTCATGAGAAAAAAAATACATGGTAACTTATGTATAAAAACTATAGTGTGTAAAAGAAAAATATCATTGTGGAAAGAAACCAGAAGGTGCTGGTCTGTTTGTAAAGATATATGTTACGAGAGTTTGAAATTAATATTACTGTTTATAAAGCTGTAGGAAATAGATTCTACAGAACAAACCATATTTTTAGAACGCAGAAATTTATAGTAAGGGTGTAATACAATAAAAGAAAAAAAAGAGCCAAATTTCTTTTATTTATTGTATTTTTAAAAAATAATTAGTGTTATTTGCTTATATATATATGACACCATTTTGTTTACTATCTTAATGATAAAGGTATATAACATGCTTCTAACGCAAAGCCAAATACTTTTTAAATAAATACAAAAGGTCTGTAGTAAAGTCCAATTATTAACTATCACAACTGTAGCTCTATGAATAATGTATTTATAGTTGTGCATATTCTACAACTTAAAAATGTGCTTGGCTATTTATGAAGCCACTTTATGAGATTATGTGAAAATATCAAACTGTTTTAAGATCAATTGGATGATTAAGCATGGCTCTAAATTAAAAAAAAAAAACCCACTGAATTGATGATGGTTGGCAGGATCTTTAAGGCAAAAAGAAAACCAATCACTAGATTCAGCCTTCATTACTCTATTTTGACCTTTAAATTGGTTCTAATTTAAGAATCTAAATCCATTTTTTGTGTTCCACTACAATTTCATAAATTTTCTCAGTTATACCTCTGTATCTCAGTTAAACAACATGCATTTGTGATACTACATTTTGTGATACTACATTTCTCATTGTCTCTTGAAGCTTATTTGGTCTGCAGTTTAGCATTCTTGAAACTGTTGGCATTAATAAGACATTAATATATGGAGTAGAGCCATGTAAAGCATTAAAAGAGGTGAATTTTAAATCATGTTAATGCAAGCTAAGGACTCTTCCTTGAAGTACAAGGAAGCTATACCTTTTGGAGGATTGGCAAAGCTATTTCCAAAGTCACATCCAGCTGTCTACATGTAAGTTTATACACACAGCTGGCAATACCTGCACAGAATGATATAATGATGGGGCCTTGAGTATATGCAGGGACCAGTTTCTACTGATTATGGGGTATATTTCTCAACTACTATATGTTTTAAATTTTATATTGTTGTAATCTCTTTTATTTGTTTTTTTTAGCCTCCCAGTCACTTGTTGAGATGGGTGACTATAAAAAACTGAATAAATAAAATAAAAAGTGGAGATCCCACAAGAGGGAGCAGTGAGGCAGTCACTTTTGTGAATGACATTTAGCTATTGAAGATAGTAAAATTAGGAATTATGAAGACTCCTAGTACTGGGAGAACAACCATAAGGGGAAAATCATACCCAAAATATGTGATGTGATGAATGTGATGAATATGAATAGGTATGGAATTTGAGTTATAGTAAATAGCTGAGTAGATGCAAAAATTCAGCTGCTGTGAAAAATGCACCAATATACTACTGGTGTATTTCATATAGTAGCATGTATACAATTCTATATTGCATCACCGATTAGATAATTCAGTACAATTTTGTTCACCTCATTTTAAAATAAAATAAACCTGAAGAAACATTATATGGGTAATCAGTATATGAGGTGGGAGTTAAAAGCCTTATTCTCAACACTGCATTTGACACATAAGTCACTAAATTGAATTCTGGTCCATACATCTTTAAAGTTGCAGAGGTTGAAAAACACTGCTTTACCCTAACTCAGGGGTCCCCAACTCCTGGGCCATGGTCCACTATTGGGCCGTGAGCCATTCAAAATTGGGCCGTGGAAGCGGCAAGTGAACACATGCGTGTGCATCCCTACTTGCATCAACAGCAGGTGACCACATGTGTATGTGTTCCATTTGTGCAAGCAGCAGATGCCCATGCCCATTGTTAACACAAATGGACCTGGGTATGCACTCACCCACCACTTGCATGCAACTGTCCCCTCTCCCTCCCCACTGGACTGCAAAGCCGGAAAAGTTGGGGAACTCTGATCTAATGGGTTTTCACAAATAAATGAAAACCTATTCTGAGGTACAACATTAGGTGGATGTTAGGCTTTGATATCTACCCTTTTGATTAGTGCCACTGCACTATATATTTTGCTTTTTAATGTTCCACAATTGTTAACCTTTTTTCTTGTTGTACACTGCTGCCAGCATAGGCATATGAGAAATAGAGTTTTGCAACATAAACACTTTAAATGAAGGTTAAATTTAGGTCCTAAAAAAATTACAATTTCACATAGTGCATAATAAAATAATGCTATTCGTGTCCTCAAAATATAGTGACAGCCATCAGCTTAGTTTTAGAATTAATGAAGGAGAAGGGAATCAATAGTCGGACATCATGCTGGGAAACTACTTTAAGATCAGAAGAAACATGCTTTTGATTCTATGGAAGAACAAAAGGAGTTCTGATTAAGGACCAAAAAAGGAGAAAGCTATTACTACTACCTAAAGGCCTCTGCTGATCCATTAGAAACATACCCATCCATTGGGGAGAGAAAGAGAGAGAGAGAGAAGAGGGGTGGGGGAGAGAGGGGGGAAGAGAGAGATGCAAGAGTCTATTATAGTATAATTTATTTCCAATTAATACTGTGATTTTACAAATAGAAGATTTTCTCTAATGAAAAATGTTTAAGTTTGTTCCTCATGAATCATATTCTAGAAAGTCTCAGAAACAGAAAACAGAGCTAGAACAATTTCCCCTCTTTAGTTTATTGTAGAAGTATAACAAAATAACAGAATATAAGGGACCTTGGAAATCTTCTAGTCCAACTCCTGCTCAAGCAGGAAACCCTATACCATTCCAGGCAAATGATTATCCAATCTCTTCTTAAAAACCTCCAATACTGGAACACCCACAACTTCTGGAGGCAAGTTGATTAATTGTTCTAACTGTCAGAAATTTCTCCTTAGTTCTAGGTTTGTTCTCTCCTTGATTAGTTTCAATCCATTCCTTCTTGTTTGTAATAATGGAAAACTAAAGTAGCTACAAATAAAATGAAACTGAAGGTGAATTTAACCTGGAATTAGAACTGTTCTTTGTACTCTCTTACAGGCATGGAATTTTTAGTATTCTAGCACGTTTCTATAACAAGCTTGGCAACCAACAAAAGTGCACATCACTGCTTCTCTTACAGCTTCCCTGAGGCAATGTTTATTCAGCTCTAAAAGTTGCACTGGAAACTTGAAAAAAAAAAAACCTTTTGTCCACCTTGAGGACAAAGTAAGAAAATGATAAGTAATAAATAAGAAAAGAAGCTTTTTTAAAAATACTGAAAGGGTGAGATATACCATCCCATCATGCAACAAACAGTTATGCACATTCCTATTAAGATGAATTATGTATCTTAATCCATATGAAGTACTGTTTCATAAGTAGCAAAATTTGCTTAAGTTAAAGATATGGTAATAACTGCTTACCTGACTCACAGGCAAATGTTTTTGATGTCTTATCATGAAAGATAATTGCTACTGCATGCTTCTTGGTTTCTCGAGGCAGTCTGGTTATGTTTTTGATGTTCTGTAACTCTGTTACCTTAAAATTAAGGGATACAGAACATAGTTTTGTTTATAAATAGCAGGATAAACAAATAATACCCCCTCTATTTTCATTGTAGTATTTTCCATCCATCAGAATGGACTTAATTGTAAAGTAACAGTGTATCACTGTAGAAGTGTACAACTCACTTGCTCTGGCCTATGCAATTACTTATTTTTTATAAGATAATTTTTGGAAATAAAACAGATATCCCTATCAGTTTTTGCAGCCTTGATTTGGAAATTGTTCATGGTATAAAGTGCTTGTCAAAATTTCTAAAATGGCAAATTTGTTGTGGAAGCAACACCAAATAGCTTCTGTATTCTGAAAGTCCACAGAAAAATAAAGACAGCATATCTTTCTGTTATCCATCACACAAATTAACATGACACAGAGATTAGGGGTTTTTTTTTTGCTTTAAAGAGAATTGCTTGTTCTATTGATAACCAGGCTTGACTTAAAGTACACAAGTTTAGCTTTCATCTTGAGAATTTCAAGATCAGCATTTCTACTAATTCCCACTAAGTTTTTCTCCATCTGCCAAAGAAATAGGCTATCAATATATAATAACTGGCAGGGTCAGGCAAATAGAACTGAAAATAATATTTTTCATTTATAGTTAAGAAAAAGAGAGAGAGAATAACACAACAAACAAGATATGTTCAATAATTTGATTAAGGAATCTTTCCAAAATGCGGGTGGTTAGCTGCTATTATTGTTATTATTTATTCCACCTTTTTAAAGTATAACTCAAGCAGTATACCTAATACTTTAGCCTCCTATTCACTATATATTGGATTCAGCATAAACAGAAAGCATGTTGAAATATTTTTCTCCATTGCTTTCCACTCAGTACGGATAGTCCTCATTTAACAATGCTAATTGGAACCAGAATACTCACTAAATGAAGTAGTTGTTAGGCAAAACATTTTATAGATGTCTAGAATTGCTCATTTTGTTCACGTGATATAATAAAATATGTATTTTACATAGACAAGAGTCCAAAGCAATGGCCCATTCATTGTGGAATGTCACATCCCCCCAGGGACCTGGGAGGCATACTCTACATGGATACCTCTAGAATTGAAGAACATAACCAAACTATAGAAATTATGACAGAGATCAAAATTCTTGTTGCTCAAGATTCCCTTGTCCGGAAGAAAAAAACATATTTGCAGAGGATCAAGCTGATCCTTATGAAAGGCAGATCTACCATTTATACTACCTAATACTCCACCTCTCATCCAAAAATACTCCTCCTGAACACAAACTTCCTTTATGTTGTCTTCACAGACTTCAAAGCAGCTTCTGATTCTGTATCCCAACTTAAACTATGGGAAAACTGGAGGTCTTTTTGATTTACTGACATTTACTTTATCTAATACGTATGCTTCATGAAGGGAAAATAACTCCCAGGGCCATCTTACCACAGTGATTGAAACTGAGAAAGGCGTCAAGCAAGATTGCATATTAGCCCCATTCTTATTCAACTTCTACATCAATTCCATGGTAGCCTACCTCCTTAACACAAACTTTCACTCTCCAAAAGCAGCTTTGTTGTCCTCTAGGGGACAATGCAACAATACTTTCAAGAATACCTACTGGCCTTAAAAGAACACTGACAACTCTAATACAGTATTTCAAAGAAGAAAGACCAGCTAGACCTCAATTATCAGAAAACTAAAATCATGGCATATGTCAAAAGCCTCTCCTGGAGCATAGATGGCTACAAGACTGAACAAGCCTCTTATTTCAGAGGTCTCCAACCTTTTGGGCACAAGGGACAGGTTATGTGGAGAGAGGTTTTTCCGCAGACTGGAGGGGGGCGTGGTTTTGTATGCTGCCTGCATCCCGCAGATGGGGCTTTGCTTGTTTGTGCGGACAGGTTGCTGGCGTGCCGTGGCCTGGTACCGGTCCACGGACCCGGAGTTGGGGACCCTTGTCCTATTTCAAATACCTGGGAGTGTACTGCCAACATCAGGAAATCTATAGGGTTTATTGAAAATATACAGAGTACTCGTATGCTATCTTTAAGTTCCTCAAGACAAGAGGTGGCTACTAATACTTAAAGCAGTCAAATTATTCCAATCAATAGCACAACTTTGTTATGATATCCAGCTGTACCTCTTCTTTAATTTTGCACTATTAGAATTTGTTCAACCCAAATCTCTTAAGATTTGCCGTTTAAGTTCCAAAATGTGTCTCTAATGCCACCTTAAGATGAGTCCCATGAAAGTAGAGGCTAGAATGTGGGTGACATACTCAACTATTGGCTCAGGCTATCCTTTTTTGCCCTCAGCCTTGCTGATGGAATTAATTATGGAAAATGATTTTCAGACTACATGAAAAAAGGTAGTGGCAACTTAACATTTCAACCTTGGGTTTTCCTGTAGTTTTTCTACTCAGCATGGGATATGATCAGGACAAAGCACTCATTAAACTGTGTGTAGCAGACAGGGTGCCAATTGGATCTAATGAGGTCTTCAACCTTTATTGCTAGTGAATCTAACAGGTATTCTGCCTCCCCTAGGACATACATAACTAAACTCAAAATACCCAACTGCTATTGGCACGATATCAGGTCCTCTCTTCAGTTATCCTTGAAGGCTGATACAGGAATTCCCTACCCGGAGATAGAATGCCACTGTGAGTGTAAACATACAGCACTAGCCTCATTTCACCAGGGTAATTCTACGCTTTGCTGCTGCTTTGGTATTAACCATGCTATGTCATGTAATATTACTAAATTCTATGCAGCAGTCCATCATATGATGACCTGTATCATAAATTAGTCTTAATGAGTACCTAACTTCATCATGGCCATCATACTAGGATACAGTAAAATGTGTGATGTGATAGACTTATTCTGCCCAACTTTTATGCACCTTCTATACCATCTAATGCTCCTTTTAGATTTATTTATGCTTTTGTTTTTTATCTACATTTTCTGTTTTATAATTATGATTATTCTTAAAACAGATATATTTTCTATGGTTTTCAGCTGACTATAGGCCACACTTCTTATGCTTGTCTTTGTAATAAATATATGATTTGATTTTGATATGGACAAGTCACACAAGGACTTCAGACTATTAGATATCTAGTATAGTTCTACATACTCCAGCACTGTTGTTATACATTTTGCTATTTGTTGGACATAAAGCTGCTTCTGGGCTTAAATTACTATGATTATAATGTCTAGTCAGTCTGACAGCACTAGTCTCCATTATAAACAATCATTATTTTCACAGCACCAAAGCAGGCAACTCTTACTTTGGAAGCAATCTACTTTATCGGATATGTGTATTATTGCTTAAACTCATTTACTAGAATTGTGACTATACAAAGTTTCCTGGCTATGAATCCTTGCATTCATAAATCTTTACAACAAATCTTTAAATAAATACCAAATATATTAAAGTTATCTTTTTTCAGGTCTATGCTGATATTCAAAGTACAACAGAATCATAGGTATGTCTCTATTTTATTTTATTTTTTGCAAGTCTACAGCTCGCACAGAACTTCAACCAGTTTGTTTATTCTAGCTTCTTCTAAAGTGACCAGATAGCTAGGTATCTCTTGGGAATTCACTAAGTGGCAGAAATTCACTGAACTGTAAATTAATATAATCTTAATTTACCCTATCTTTATCCCTATCCCCAAATCCTAAGAGGCTGTTCTATAACAAGATAAGAAAACTTCAAGTGTTCTTTTTAAAGCAAATGAATAGATCTAGAGTTGACAGACCCATGTTCAAGGCTAAGTATCAGTAAACTGGAACACAAAAGCCTTTTACAACAGCAAGAATGTGAAATAAAGGAAAGATACAGAAATACCAGGACATTGGAAGTGCCATGTTCAAGACATTAATCCCCTATGTGAGGACATGGTGAAAAAGACAAATTTGTGGTTTATACAGAAAAGAAATGCTGTTAATATATTAGAGAGAGAGAGAGAGATTGGAGATAAATCTCTCTTATAAAAATAATTTTGCTTTCCTGGAACATAGAAATGAAAAGATTCCTGGTACAAAAACAATGCTGCTTACATTGTGGATTTCAAAGAAAAGCTATCCTATCACTATTTCTGAAAATACCAAGGTCAGGAAGACAATAAGATAATAAGCAGAAAATTGTCAGCCTGGAACCCTTGTATTTTTTTCTGAAATACATTGTGGGGTTTTTGTCCCAATTCAAATGAGCCTACAACCTTCTTCTTTTAATTTTGAGTCTCCCTAATTCCTTCATGAGGACATATGTCTTCACCAACTTTTTAGTGAAATTCTTTGCTACTGTACCATACAAGACAGATGAAAATAGCTAACTATTCAAATTCTTGGCAGCAACTATTTCATGAGAATTAAACATATATTAATCATGCTCCAAATTTGAAAGGAATAATGAATTAATCCACAACACTTTTGCATTTGGATGAGCATGGCAATATCACCAGAGTGGGCATGACAAGGAGTTACAGTTTACAAAGAAAAATATATTTTGAAGACCATAGGACATGGCAGGCAATATTTTATAGTGACAAAATGGATAAGTTGATTTTGGAAGTATTGAGGAATTGTAGTAGCAAAATGATTGTTTAATAAGATGCTCATGTGGCTCTTTAATATGGGAAAAATCATACTAATGAAAACCAATCACACAATTTGTGGATATTCTGGGAATGGTGCATTTCCAGTGCTAATATATGAACTCAACAATGACCAGTGTTATTTGATGCATTCTTGAGCTGGTAAATCAAATGCTGATTATCAACTTATGAAGAATCTTCTATTCTGGGCTTCCGGTTTGCCATCGTGGCCACCGTGGACACTGGAAGCCAAGCTCCGTCTTCCACGTTCTGTTTTGCTCTGCTGGGGGACCCTGGAAAGGGTCAAAAGTTGCCCTGAAGGGGCGATGAGCAAGGAGGGTACCCCTGCTTGATCACGGGAGGGCGGCAGCCCTCCTGATCAATCCAGGGCAGCCCTCCAAACCGGCAGAAGA